AACATTATTCATTGAATCACGGAGTAAGCAAGGGAACGACCTAGCGACTTGGCATTTAACTTGATTTAAGATACGATTTTCTACAAAAACGTTCAAATATTGTTGCTGCAATACAGAAACTTTTATAAAAATATTTATACAGAAAAGTTAATCATTAGCTTGAGTTCGAGTTAAAATTATATTCTCTAATATATATTTAACATTTCATAGAAATTAAGAGATTTGTAAAATATACAACAAATTAACTTAAAGAAATTAACTGAAAAGTATTTTATTAAAACGAATATTTACCTAAACATATTAATAGGAGTTTTTTGTCAAGGAATCGATTCCTTTTTTTATAAATCAAAGAATTTGATTCCAAATGTATATTACTTTTGTACAGCTCTCAGCTTGTCAAAAAAGTATATTATAGAACAATTTTATTGATTGATGATTATTTCTATGAAAGTTTACCCAACTTGTTGAATTTCTTTTAACAGCCTGTTTTATATATTGTAGAAAACTGTTTGATTGAAATGATTACTAAATAGAAAGAATTTTCATTATCGGTGAAAATGTTTACTCAAATCATTAAATTACGTTTTTTAATAATTCGTTTTATATATTGCTGAAAGCAGTTTGATTTATTTAAATTTTTCTCTTACCCTTCTACGCAAATAATTGAATTTAATTTATTATTATTGTTTCTTTTTTTGTTTTTTTTTTTTATAAAAAAGTTTTTTTATTTAGAAAAATGTACCTTTTCTCATTGCATAGACATTTCACAAGTAATTAACGTGAATTGTTAGTGGCTTTTATTGAAATGATTAACAGAAAACCTGACAATGAATCGTTAAGTTGTTTATTGCCTACATAAAATCAAATTAAATGCATCTGTATTTAATTTGAATGATTTTTTAATTGCCTCGTGGCCCATAACTTCAGTTTATATAAACGTTATTTTCTGTTTGATACTTCACTCGTTTAGCCAACTCTCGCCATGCACAGCATTCTTGCCACAGCCCTTTGCCTGCTGCTCTGGTCGGATGGGCGGCTGCCTGTTGATGCCCAAGCACCTGGATTGCAGGTGGTGAAGCATTGGAAACTGCTGGGCTACAACTTTGAGTCAAATGCACGGGCCAGCGATCCGCAGTTTTATAATCCAGAGAATGTGCTCATCACGGGCATTGCTGTTACAGAGGATCGCATTTTTATAGCCACGCCCAAGCTGTTTTCGGGCGTCTCCTCCACTGTGAATTGGGTGTCCAAGGCACAGATTGGCGACTCGCCCACGCTGCAGGCATATCCCGACTGGTCCTTCTCGAACACAGCGCGCTCCAATTTCAATTGCAGCGATCTGATCTTGACTTCGGTCTATCGCCTGCGCATCGACTCCTGCAATCGCCTGTGGCTGCTCGATGCGGGCATCTCGCGTTCACTGGAGGACTATGAGATCACCTGCCCGCCCAAGATACTTGTGGTCGATCTAAATACGGATCGTGTGGTGCGTCGCATTGATTTTCCGCCCGAGGTGTTGCGTGGTGAGACGCTATTTACCAACATGGTCATTGATGAGACCACGGCCAAGAGCTGTGACGATGTATTCGTATACATCACGGATACCGTGGAGCCGGGCATTATTGTATATGACAGCGGCAAGGATGTCACCTGGCGCCACTCGCATCCAGGTACATAATAGGCACCACAATGTGTTCTACTTTATTTATTTGCATATTTCCCGCACAGCCATGTATCCCGATCCAGATTTTGCGCAGTCCGAGATTCACAACGATCGCTTCGTGCTGATGGATGGCGTTGTGGGCTTGACGTTTGATGAGCGCAAGGGCGTGGTCTACTTCCAGCCACTGGCCACAGATCGGTGAGTATAGTAGACCCAAGTATATATGGTCTTCAGTAGCTAATCGTGGTGCAAATCTCTGGCAGTGTCTTTTCGGTTCACAAGAATGTGCTACGCGGCGGTCCACTGCCGAGTGGCCAGATGCTGGATGTCAAGCTGGTGGGCAAGAAGTCCTCGCAGGGCATTGGCTTGACAGTGTCACCGTTCGACAGCAGCCTGATCTTTAGTCCGCTCACGGAGACGGCAATTGCCTCCTGGAATCCAAGCAACAATCAGCAATCCGTGCTGGCCCATGATCGCGATAAGCTGCAGTTCGTGGCGGATATGACAACAACCCGCGCAGAGCCGGGTGTCATCTATGCCATATCCTCAAAGTTTCATCGCTTCTTCCTGAAGAATCTAAATCCCAATGAGTACAACAATCGCATACTTCGTCTGGAGCTGCCGCACGCCAAGCCCGGCGCCTCCAAGAGACCCCTGCTGGGGCATCCGCTGACACTGACCACGGCTCCAGCCCACAACAGTTTGCTGCACTACAATTTGTACAATACACACGTGCACGCTCAGAGCACCTCAAATGCGCTGCAAACGTACTTTACGAGTCCGGCGCTAACCACGCCCCTCACCACCAAGACACCCTACAAATTCGAGAACGCCGGCATTGTCAACTATGGATTGCGCAACCCATTCACAGCGCTCAATCAAGGCGAGGCCTTTCCGCCCACCAAGGCTACACGAGACAACTATCAGCGTTCCTATCTGGATACCCTCGTGGGTGGCCCTGTGAACACGGCAGCAGCAACAGCACCAGCTGCGCCCACGCCCTACTCCAACCGCCACAGTGGTTACTACTATCATTAAGAACGTATTTATAAATGTTTAAAAAACCGAAATCAGTTTTTCTATTACATTTCATGCTCTTTATTGTTATGTGTAAATATTTTTTGTTAATTTATTTTCCTTGTAAATATTTAATGTTGCTTTTAAATAATTGGTATTCTGTCCAATGAACATGAACTTTTCACATCAAAACAAGCAATCTCTTAAATATACACACACATATTGATATACATACATAAAGCCCATTTGTTTTCACTGGCACTGAGTTTCACACTACAAATTCCACCTGTAGCTGTGGAAATGGGTGGAAGGCGGCGTGTAAGACTTTGTGGTACAACGATCGAGCATCAACAACATTTCATTGATCTCTGTGAAAATTGACTTCAGACGTTTTACACACTTACCCGGAATTCCACTTCCCAGGGTGTAAATGGCGCTTACATGAGTACAGACAAATTTCAATTAGCTCACGTTTGGGAAAAGGATAAATATAAGAAACATGATCAATGATTCGTAGGAGTAAAAGAAAAGTATGTGTCTTAACGATCTGAGTTAATATATATAAAGTACATACACTTGAGCCACTCTTGCGAGTTTTTGAATAATATAATATATGATTTTATTTGACCTATCTAAGATCTTAATTTTAGTCGCCAATTGAAGCTATAATAAATTGATTAAACAAATTTAACTAGATAATTAAATTACAATTTTGACGTGTTGAGCTCTACCGCACTTAAAGCTGACATTAATGAGCCATAAAATGACGGCTTAACCAGTTCTAATAAAAATTGTTATTATTTTTTTTTTTTTCTCGGCCAACTCATGGTGTTTTTTTCTGGGCTGTGGCTGCGTTCTGCTTGGTTCACCTGAACTCAAGTTTCATTTAGTCTCTGCTGGCTTTAATGATAAAATTAAACGCGAACAACTGCAGCTTATTCGGAAATGATTGCCCGAGTGCTCAATATTTTTAATAGTTTCCAAAAGCTGTTTGCAAACTTGATGATAATTAAATTCTTCTGCATGGCAGCAGATCCAAACAAGTAAAAGTACGCTGTTCGAGCGTGATTGACTATGAGATACCCTGTACGAGTACGTTTACACATATATTTTAGCTTCTCCCCCTTCTCTCTTACGTCCTTCCATACACTTTTCACTTTGCTCCACTCTATCGGAAATTTATTCGGTCCGATCTCTATGAAATCAAATTAATCTGACTTCAATCCTCCAGGGAATATCTAGGAAATGAGAGAGGTATCAAGAAAATGAATTTCGACCCAATCTGTGTATAAATATTATAAGATAATAACTTTCAAGTTATGCGATAACCTGAAACTGGGAGAAGGTATAGAAACAAAAGGGTTAGATTCGTGCTGCGTTTGTGATGGAATATATGTCTTTTATGTGTAAAATTTCTAGCTTTAGAAAACAGTCGGACGGACAGATGGAGAAACAGACATAACTATATCGAGTTTTTCTGGTTTGCTCGTCTTGCTCTAAACGTTTGCACAAAAACAATATACCCTTTTTCGCGTTTTCAATCAGAATATATAATAAATCTGGCTTTTCTCACAAATAGCATTGGTTTTTTTTAATACCCCAGTGATTTATGAAATGTTTGTCTGGTTAATTGGATTTTAGCTTTTCATTTTTATATTCTTACGTATTAAATACATAGATTGACACCCAATTTGTCGACTATCTCTATATATAAAACTGTTTGCCCTGACTGACTGACTGACTGATCGGTGATCAACCTTATGTAATAAAGATGCAGGTTAAGACGGAATTTCGAAACTTTTGTTTTGACGCTTTTTTGTTTACCGTCCGATCGACCTCAAAGTCATTTTCAAAGATCTTTGTTCGAAATCGTTTGAGAGATGTTTCACACTGTTGATGGAAATGGGGGTCAAGGATTTGGTGGATGCCGTTTCATACTCAAATTCATTTTCAAGGTATATAGCCTGAAAAATCATTTGGAACGTGTTGTACATTTTTCACAGAATTAAAGCATCCTCGGTGGAAAGTGGGATTCTAAAATTTGTTGCCGAAGTTTTAAGTTTCGTCCGATTTAAGAGTTTAATAAATACGTGTTTCGGTGAGTTGGAAAACGATTGTATGAAAGTAATTTGTTTAGTTACCGATCAGTTTCAAAATCATTTTCAAAGCTTCGTAGGAAAACTTATTTTATACACGCCTCCGGTAAGGCTGGGTTAGTTAATAGATAATCTATGAAAATAACAAAGTAAACATCTATGTGACGTCATTGGAAACGAGCCTTGAAACTTATTTTTACATTCGTAAACATTTATCTAAATTTGAATTTTGAATAAAACAATTTAGTAGACAAACTTAAAAATAAAAAGTTTTTGTCAAAATCTCATCTGGGCTCTTAGAGTCTAGACTGTATTGTTTAAACGCATTTGTGAGTTTAGTTCTCAAATAATAAAACAAGTGGAACCTTTAAACAGCTGTACACACAGAATGAATGCGCACAGGCTCTTGCATAGCTAATTGAAAAGGAAAGTTTTTACTTGAACTTCGTAGACAGAAAATCAACTAAACAAACAAGGGAATTTTGAAACTTTAAACATCAAATATATGTTCACAGCTGCCCAAACGGCGCAGTTAGAGTGCCTAAAAATTTGCTATATAAACAACTGTCTTGGTTTTCAGTCAACATTCCAAGCAATCTACTGGCCACGAGATGAGAATCCAAACTCTGCTCCTTTGCTGCGCCATTCTGGCCACTTGCTGGCTTCCATACAGCGAGGGTGATACGACGGCTGCGACATCCACAGATGATACCACAACAGTGGCAACATCCTCTTCTGATACAACAACAACGGCATCAGCCACTTCTGATACGACAACAGCGGCATCAGCCACTTCTGACACGACCACAACGGCGTCTGCCACTTCGGACACAACAACAACCTCAAGCAGCAGCAGTTCAAGCTCCAGCTGCGCGGCAGCTTTGAAACGGCTCAGGCGCAGGATTCGGCGTCTGAAGAGGCAAGAGCGCCAGAGGGCCGCAAGAAGGAGGGAATTGGCCGCCAGACGTCGGGCTTCCAGAAGGCGTAGAGTTGTGCTCGTACCCAGGAAAAGGACCGCAAGCACGAACAGGAGAAGGGTCGTCAACAGGAACAGAGTCGGAACGGTTGCCACCAGGAACAGGCGTCGCACGGGTTAAATTCAAATACTTTTGAAATGTATATACACAAATAAATGCAATCTTAAAATTCACTTTCCACTTCGTTTATATTTTCAAATATATAGCTGCTCCTTTTCCAGCCGGAATTTCCATTAATCGAAACTTTTCCTTTCGATACCTTTTGCCATTTGTTAATACCGATAAATATCGATTTGTACTCCTATTAGCGTTAGCATTTTTAAGAGATTTTTTTAAATATTTTTCAAAGCTATTTCTAGCTTTTTTTAGAAACAAACTAGCTGTTTTATAGATAGCTTTAGGAGAGAGCATTCAAATATTTGCATGTTTGTAGGTATTTCCGATCTTTATAAACTTTAAGCGGAGTAGAGAAATCTATATTTATCGAAAAAAAACTAGGTACATACAATCTGTTTAAATTCTCGTTGTGTAACTGAATTGATGTCCGTCATGCCGAGTGGCTCTCGCCGTACTATTTAATATACCCACTATCCACTTGCAATGCTTACAGGGTATACACAAATATTAAAATAAATGCAAATGGAATGTAAACGCCATAAAGACATGCCATTAAACACGATGGACATATGCACTAACATAAATACATAAATATTGAACGTTCAGTTTCGACGGCAAAGTCCGCCCCGTGGAAAGAGATTTCACTGGCTATCCTAAAACTGGAAGACTAACTGCAGCTCGTTGCCGGTTTCTCGTTGACACTAAAGTATTGGCCCACAACAGCGCTTGTGTCCACCGGCGAGCGGCTCGGCCCGCTCTCGAATTGCCGGCCGACAGCATTTTCCGGCAGACTCAACCGCCGAGAAATCAATTATCGCGTACGCTGTTGACATGCTGCGACGAGGCAGGAGGCAGGGTGGCAGCGTGGCATTGGACAGGGGCAGGGGGGCAGGGGGGCAGAGGCCCAGGTCGCAGGCGGCATGGCGTAGTCTATGTAAATCAACTTCCAGCATCCAGAGAAAAGGTGCCCATAAATCTAACAAGTATTAAACGGCACTAAACTCTGTCAGAGGGCCAGCGCGTACCTGTGCCGCGAATGCCTTTTTTGTCTGGGCTCTCGAGAACTCGACAAGTCGACTATTTGGTCAATTAGGGTTTGTTAGCACCGGTTGGGCAAACACCTTAACGTCGGTCCCTACCTGCTGCTGCTGCTGCTGCTGGAGATCAGTTTTCACGCGTCGCCTGAACGGTTTAGACGGGATTTTCTTTTCTATGCTGTCGTGTTAACGTAAAAAAAGAAAGAAAATGTTTCAGGCCAGATGCATCCTGTTGGCTGTTGGTCTGCTCTTGGCCAGCGGCTGTGCCCAGAGGTTGCGCATTAAGGAGCTGCACACGCTGCACAGATGGAGCAATCTGAGCTTTGGTGTTTTGGGCCAGAGCCAGGCGAGCAACGGCCAATTTCTGCCCGTGGACATAGACATTGAGTATGGGGATGAGGGACGTCATCGGACTTTTCTGACCATACCCCGCTTGAGCACTGGCACACCCTACACACTGGCCACGGTGGTGGCTGCTGATAATGGGCTCCTGGAGAATCCACGCCTGGAAGCCTATCCCAACATGGCCTGGCATATGCCGGCCAACAACTGCTCCGGCATTACGTCTGCCATCCGAACCCATGTGAGTGTGGCCTCAAAACCGAAACTGTCTACGAAAATTCCAACGCACAGAATGCTCCCCTTGTCTGCAGATTGATGAGTGCTGGCGTCTTTGGGTGGTGGATTCGGGTCAAGTCAACTCCATGCAGCTGTGCGCGCCACAAATTTTGATATTCGACCTGGTCAAAGATGAGCTGGTGCAGCGTTCCGCGCTGCCCCCACACATGTACACGCCCAGCATATCGATTTTTACGGCCATGGTCGTGGATCTTTTGGAGGGCAGTGCGCCCAGCAAATGCTTGGGTGGCATGGCCTACATTGCGGATGCTTGGGGCTATGGCCTAATTGTGTTTGATGCGCTCACCGGCAAGTCCTGGCGCATCGAACACGAGTCCATGCAGCCGTCGTTGGGCGTGCGTCGCTTTGGCAGCGCCCATGCGGGCATATTTACTGTCAGCCTGAGTCCCAGTCTGGCAGCAGGTAATTCCATTGATGATGTGGCCATGCTAGCGCCTATTGCATAGATTCTCTTGATTTTCAGAGCGCTTTTTGTACTTCCATACGCTGAATAGCTTCTTTGAGATTGCAATTCCACTTCACCTGGTCAACAATGCTAGCATCTGGCGGCAGGGTTCAAGCGAGGCGGTCAGCAAACACTTTCGTATTCTGGGCACGCGTGGCACCCAGTGCGAATCGGAGGTCATGGACAGCGGCGGCAATCTCTACTGTAGTCTCATCAGCCTGGGCGCTTTAATAAGTTGGAGTGAGCATTCCAATTACACAGCAGATGCTATACGCGCTGTTGCGTACAATCCGCAACAGCTGAAATTTGTTACGGGCCTCAAGATCAATCGGAACTCGAAGGGAGAGAATGAGCTTTGGGCGCTGAGTAGTGAACCGAATCTCTTCGTGGGCGGCACCTTGAAAGAGACTGAGATAAAATTTCAAATAATTGGCTGTCGCACAGCTGATTTGTTAGCCAATACGCCGTGCACAGTGCATGCCATGGATGCTGTGCACACATAATCATAATTTAAGATACTAAAATTAATATTAGTTTAAAACTTAAGATAAAATAACCATTTGCTTTCTGATTAAAAATTAAATTTGAAAATGTAACCACTTTTGATAGCGAGCGAAAGCTGCTTGGCATGACACGCCGTCAGCTGATTATGCATATCGAATAGTCGACTTTTGCTTATCGAAATAGTTATCGGCCATCCCTAGACCGGCCGCTTGTTTACGTGTTGCAGTACGAGTATTTTTATTATTTTAAAAATTGTATATTTAAATAAGCCATAAACACCGAACATGACAAATCTACAACGTTGGTTATTCTATGCTGCGCTCTTCGCTGTTCCCTATTTTGCCATTGTGCTGGGCACAGTGCAAACGGCGGTAACAACAAAATACTTGCTGCATATTCAACTGCTGCCACTGCTGCTGTTAGTTCTGTTTGGGGTAAGTTTCCAAAGGAATAATTACTATAGTCAGCTTTGAACAAATTGTATCTGCTATATGGTTTTAGATCTATTCCGTGTGGACTGTGCTGTATCGTACATTTACGTTTAACGACTGCCCCGAAGCAGCTAAGGAATTGCAGGCGGAGATATTGGAGGCACGCAAGGATCTGATTGCAAAGGGATTCAAGTTTCGCGACTGATGCCACAGAAAGTGCTTTTAATTAGACAGTCTTGTTCATGTACATACTTGCAAAACATATATTTTAATTTGTAATTCCATTAAATATAAAGAAAAGACGGTGTATGTAAATATGACAGTGTTCCCCTGAGATTCTTAAAAACATTCAGATCCACGCAAAAGTTTTTTAATTAGAGTTTACATTACTCAAAGCGCTAATTTTCCCATTGGAATCGAGCATTACAAGCGATCCAACATGCTGTGCTATTGATTAACATGCACCTTAGAGAGCCTCAACGGCAACGCGCTGTTAAAGCTGTACTTTAACATAAAGCGAAACGGTTCAATTCCAATTGTGCTTCTGGGCTCCACTGCTGTGCTTCGGCATGTGCTTTTGCTAGAGGCGATCTGTGCACTGGAATATGCATACACACATGTACGCATACTACTTAAAGATCAAGCCCAACCTAAATTATGTTAACGTTCGCTCTCACGCTCAGACTGGAAAACGGTAAAGCCGCTGCTTCTGCTGCCTGAACCAAAAGTCGATGCTACGAACAAAACAGTTCACGCTTAGACGTCAGCACGTTCACAACAACTGGCGCTTAATTGAGTCCGTGTCAGCATACCATAAAAAGCCGAAAACAAAAACAAAACCAATAGCATGAGTCACAAATTTGTACTTTTGGCTTGTCTGGCCGTCAGTGTGTGCAGTGCCGCAAAGGTAAGTTTGCATAATCACAACAAATCTAAGAAAAAATCAATTTAAAATGCAAGCTGGCTACTTATGACAAAACGCGTTTACATACTATCAAGCAACAAACAATACCAAAATCACGAGTGAGGTTTACCCAATGCAGTGGGTCAGGGTTGGCACAGTCTGAAGAAGAAATGAGTTCAAATACGCCTCGCGCCCTTTTCAAATGCAGCAACAAGTGGCGCGCCCTATAAAACGGGTTGAATGAACTGCTGTTGGAAAATGCCGTAGCTCCAAATTATTTAAAATAGATACATACATGCATGCGTATGGACATATGTATGCATGTGTCTGCGAGTGTATGTGTATATATGTACATACATTCGTGTATGCATAATTAAATGTATAAATTCAGTTCCAGTCTCTGCCAGCTACCGACAACATCTTGCTTTGTGTTTTTGTTTTGAGACCCAAAACCGGTTTTTAATGCCGACCAGTTTCCATTTCATTGTATTTGGCTGTGTTGTGTGTGATGCATGTGGGAACCGGTGGTGGTCGCCGGCCACTCCTTGGAAGCCCCCTTCCCGGCCAACCTGTTGTTGTTATTGCTGCAAGAATGGAACGCTTAGTTCCACTACACAAAAAACGCTGACTATGCTGTCTATGAGACCTTCAACGGAACAAAAAACAGGGGGACAAAACAATAATAAGCAAATTGAGCTAAAAAAGAGATGTATATTAATATGTATGTATGTATGTATGTACATGTACATACATATATGCGTGTATAGAAATGAATGCAAATAAACAGTAACTCGCGCTGGACTTTTTTTTTAATACACGTTTTGTCTATTGCGCATCATTTGTCGTCTTAGTCACGAGAGAGTTATAATTTATTTAGCGAGCTTTTGCACAATGTTTGGCAAAAATGTGTCATTAAGAGCACGGAAAATTGCTAAATACGAAAACCGGCAAAACTCAACTTATAAACTGCTTATATAATCAAATGTAGCTCTGAGTATATATATAATTGTTAACAATTTATTATAAATATATAAATAGCCATGTACATAACGTTGTATATTAACGTTACTTGTTTTTATGAATGATATTTTG